TTTATATTGATGATTACGAAGAGAAAGAGAAAACGTTGAAGTAAAAAACAAAATTTTTTGCTATAGATAAAAATATACCTAAACCGATTTTCAATTTAAATGTTATAGTAAAACGTGATGTGACTAAAAATTATGCTCACGAACATAAATATTATTTTTATTTCTCAAATGTGAAGTCAGAATAAACACTCTTTTGACAATTTGAACGTCTACGTAAGGCATGCGTGTATAGAGTCTTTAAAGATTTTAATATAAATCTCCTGTAAACGTATATACAGTGTGTTCACCGATTTAGGGAATACTAAATTTCTCGGCCTATTTTTTTTAAGTAATTTTCATATATCAACTATGGCTCTAAGTTCAATAGTGACTGAATAAGAGCCATGTCAATTTTATTAAATAATAAATTTTTTAAATTATTTTTAAACATTTATAAAATCATTTATAATAAATTATTATTGGTTACTTTTTGAATATTTGTACGTATTTTTTTTTAAAAAAAATGTTATAAACAAGACTAACATAATGTGGATACAAAATGGATTTAGTCTTCAGTTTTTATTGCTGTAACTTTGGTGCTGGCTCAAATTCTGAAGAAGTTTTCATTAAAAGTGGTTTTAAAGATTGGAAAAAAATTTCAGAAAAATTAAATAAGCATAGCAAGAGCTCATATCATCTTTTTAGTATGACAAAATACAAAGATTATCAGAATACTAAAAAAACTGGTAATGTACACATACAAATGTCTAGTGCTTACAAATAAGAAGTCGAAAAGAATCGAAAATACATGCTCACGATATTTGATGCAGTTTTATTTTTAGCACATCAAGGCTTAAGCTTCAGAGGTCATATTAAAAACAAAGAATCACTTAATCAAGGTAATTTCAAAGAAATATGCTGTATGTAAGCAACTTATGGTCCATCATTTGCTAGAAAAATGGAAACATCATATTTTAATTACACATGTCCTTTAATTAAAAAGGATTTAATAAGTATAACAGCTGGCTTGGTGAAGTCATAAATAGTACAAGAAGTAACGGAATGTGGAATGTATGTTTTAATGTGCGATGAAGCCAGGTCATTTAAAGAAGAACAACTTACTATCTGTGTAAGATACACAAAACAAATGGTGGTTCAGAACGGTTTTTGTCTTTTGTTTTATGTTCTACATCTAGATCTGCTGCTGGTATTTCAAATACTATACTTAAAAGTTTAAAAGCTCTAAATATTGATCAAGTGCCTATAATAGGTCAATCGTACGATGGCGCTAGTGTTATGGCAGGCAATATAAACGGAGTTCAAAATAAAATTAGAGAATTTCATCCAGAAGCAATTTTTTTCGATTGTGTTGCACATAAACTAAATTTAGTTATTGTAGGAATGTGTAAATATGTAAAAAGCTCAATTTTATTTTTTAATACACTAGAATCCTTGTATATTCATTTTTCTTGACAATCTTCTCATAGCAAACTAATAAATATACAAAAACAATTAGGCATTAAACCAAGAGAAATTATGCAGATAAGTGATACAAGGTGGGCATGTCATTTTGAAAATTGTGATATGGTAAAACAATATTATGGTTCTATTCTAGAAGTTTTAGATACTGAAGTTGAAGAAAATAATGATTTTAATTGTGTTAAGGCTAACGGAATCTTAAATAACCTAAAAAAGGGCCATTTTGTTGTTAACCTTTTTATTTTTCATGAAGTACTTAAGTATATAAATATTTTGAGCAATAATCTCCAAAGTAAGTCTATGACTTTGGGTAAAGCTTTATATGCTTTAGATGCTTTAGATTAGTTTTTAGATCATTAAAAGTGTTACTAAGACATTAGAGGACAAACGAAACGAACAATCATTTCAATGTTTGTGAGATGCACTGACAGAATTTTCAGAAAATTTTGAAATTAGTCTAGATATTCCATCCAATTCAAAAAAAAAAAAAAAGAAAAGTTTTTGAAAATTCTTTACTTAAGAATAGTATTGTTACGTCTACAGTGGGAACAGATCATTTTGAAGAACAAAGTAAAACACCAAAAGCGCATTGGAGAAGTCACTCATATTATGAGATTCTAGATAGTATAATTCAAGGATTAAATAACAGATTTTCATGTGAAAGTTTATATGTTGCGAATGCTTTTGATAGTTTCTTAAAACTAAATACTATTGACTCTGATCCTTTTATTAACCACTACCAGAAGTAACTTAAAATTGATTCTAATCTACTAAAAGCAGAAATGATGGTAGCAAAAAATTGCATATCAAAAGAAGAATGGGATTTTGATGAACTAATAAACATTGCTAATGAATCAGTACTACCAAATTTAAGAAAAATGTTAAAAGTAGCATTAATATTACCTGTTACTACAGCTACTTGTGAGCGTTCCTTTTCTGCTATGAGAAGAATAAAAACCTGGCTGAGATCTAGAATGGAACAAAATCGTTTTGATAATTTGGCAATACTAAACATTGAAAAATATCTACTGAAGAACTTAAACAAAGAAAAAATTCTTGATGAGTTTGCTAAAAAGCCAAGAAAATTAAAATTGTAATATTATGTAATGTAATTTGTATGACTAAATTTTATAATGCAAAATAATAACAACAATTAATGACAACATATCATAATTGCATATACATATTTTTTGTTAATATTGTAATTATAAAACCAAAAATATATCTATAATATAATAACTTTATTTTGTATACTGTTAATTCAATATTTTATTCTATTTGAGAAATTGTTATATAATTTAATATAACTTTTATATATTCATTGTGAATTGTAATGTTGTATTCATATTTGTACTTATTAATGAATTATGTTTAATTGAATAAACTAAAAAATCTTAATTAAATAGTGTTACTTAAATTATAAATAAACAATTAATAAGATAAAACAAATATAGGTTATAACTAAAAGTAAGAATTTTGTTTATAATTTTCATAGAGATTTAGCCCCCCCTGTTTTACAACCCTAAATACGCACCTGCGAATAAATACTATTAACTGCACAGAATTAACACTGTACTTTCATCTGTACTTTCATCAAGTGCTAACGAAAAGTATTGAAATGTTCTGGTTTTTTGAATTAGTTGATTTAATAAATTGTCACTAACATCTTCAATGCGTCTTGTTATTGTATGAGCAGATAATAGGATTTCTTCAAAATCATCTACAATATCTGGACAAATATTACTGGTTAGGCTTAAAACACGTTTCTTGACAAATTCTGCGTCTATAAATGGTTTTCCCTCTTTTGAAATTAACATAGCCACATTCACACTGGCAGAAATAATGGCTTTATTTTGAATAGTTACTTTTGAAAAAATTGTTTTTTCTCCGGTTAGTGATTTTTGTAGTTTTTTAACTTCAATTTTCCTTAATTTTCCATATAAGGAGTCATATTTAACTTCATGTTTGGATTCATAATGCCGTTAAAAAATGTATTCTTTCAACACAGAAATTAATTCACGACAGACAAGACACTTTACTTTTCCTATATTTTCAATAACTAAGTATTGATTGATTCATGTGTTATTAAAAACACGAGATTCAGAATCTATTTTTCTTTTTTTACTAACGTTCATTATTTTTATTCGTTAAAAATTTAAATTAATTTTGAATTAACAGCCAAATAAACGATCATTATAAATATAAAATATAAATAATTTATATAATACTGCAATTATTGCAGTATTATAAAAATTAAAAACTACACACGAGTACAATAAGCATACCCGTACGAAAAACGCAACATTTCATGTTACGAAACAGAATCGAAAACTAAGATTTAAGTTAAATACACATGTAATCTATCTTATCCGTAATTGTCAAGGTATACCTACCATTATAAAATATGACTGATATAAAATACCCGTACCAAAAACGCAACGATCAATATGATATTCAATTAAATTTCGTCGTTTAGAATTTATGGTGAAGCGGGCCGTATTCAATAGCTACGCGGGCCGCTGTTTGCCGACCACTGTTTTAGAGTATAAAATTAATAATCAATACAGTTTATCTATCTATAAATAATTACGAATTAATAGGTAAGTATAATTTACCGTTTATCGATATTATACATCTAATAATAGTGCATATTAATATGCAATAAATGCATATTATTATTGTTATGACTTATAATTATTTAGTATTAAATTATCTGAATAACTATGCTAATTAACATTATCTTATTATTTCAAACCTCGATAACTTTATATTTTATAAAATAACTATTATCCACTTGTACCAGTTGTACTTAGTCGATTTTTAATAAATAATTTTGTATCCATATTATGTTAATCTTGTTTATCACATTTCTAAAAAAAAAAAAAATTATAAATGTTTAAAAATAATTAAAAAAAAATCTATTATTTAATAAAATTGACATGGCTCTTATTCAGTCAATATTGAACTTAGAACCATAGTTGATACATGAAAATTACTTAAAAAAAATAGGCCTACCGAATATGGTGTTAAAAATAGGTGTTGCTATTTAAAAAGTTTTTGGTGCGCAAGCGCAGACCAAATTCTCAACAATTTTTGAAATTAACGAAAAATATGTATTCTTATACCACCATTTTAAAAAAAAAAAATGATATATTCTAAAGAAATCCGGCCGAAAAATTCAGTGTTCCCTAAATCGGTGAGCACACTGTATATATATGTACTTATTATGGAACCATTAACACGTAAATAAACATTATGCCCGCGGTAAGACTATAGTTTGTTGTGAAAATGTTCACGGGTACGTATATTAACCATACTGTATTATAGCGCTAAAATTGATGAAACACAATGATGTTGTAGTATGAGCACCAAGCGTAGTAAGGTAATACTCTTCCTCTTTTAAAACAGAATGGTTGATGATTTTTAACAACATATTGTGATAAAATAATAAACATCTATAATCATGACGTGGTATTGTTCTGTAGTTATCGTTCGTATGGCAATTTTTTTTTGTAAAATATATAAATATTTGCGAAACGATAACGTAAAGACACATTTAATTATAAAACACGAAAATAGTTTTATAACATTGACATGATTTAACACTTATAAATATTCGGTCCGGTTGACATTCCGGTCGATTTCCGTGGAAAATTATAAAATAATAACAAAACAATCAATATCACACGTGAACCTGACATAGAAGCACGGATGTGTGACTTTTCTATGTGATAAATAAATAATTCATAATATAAATGTGCAAGCGAACGTTTGGTGAGGACTCACGGGATCTATAAATAACCCTTCGTGGACCGTGACGCGCGTTGAATTTAATTCGTACACATAATAGAATGTAATTTATCGATATTGTCATCCTCGATGAACTCCAATACCTTTGACCGCCAAAACCAACCAAATCCTGCGAAAACCATCGCCACATCGGACCCGAGTACCACCACCATCAGTCACCGCCGAGCTGAACGTCTTATTTCGATCAATTCTTTTGCTGTCAAGAGGTCATGGTGGTGCGCGCATCTATCGCCAATCGATCGAAAGTCGGATCGATAATAGCATCGTGACAGCGGCGTATCCCAGGGTATGATTGAGAAGGGGGTATATTGACAATTTAAATTATTCATAATTCCCGTTAAAACGACGCGATTGTTTAATCCGGTTCAATTACATCAAAAAACGTGGTTTGTTGTTCTACCCGACCTTCTTACGATGGACTAGTTAAAATTTATAAAAAAACTCGTCAAAATAATAACTGTTTAAAAAATACGTTAATATAGCGCAATGAGTACACATTTTTTTCAAATAAAAATGTTCCGATTATTTATTACGATTAACACGATAGTACATCGAAGTGGCTCTAATGATTTTTAAAAGGAAACTGGGTTTCAATGTGTCCCGCAACCGCAATAACAGCTGCACATCGCTACGGCCGACCTGAGTCCGATATTCGTGGGCCGTCGGAAAGGTATTATCGCCACATGACCTGAATTCGTATACGACGCGTTTCGCCGGATTGCCCCTTTCGATTTCGCGCAGTTGTTTCGACAGACTTTCTATAGCGGACGTCTCATCCTGAGCACGCCAATCTGTATCTTACATTACATCGGAGTATAATATCGGTTACACGTTGTTGTTAATTTACTGTTTCCGAATTTCGTTTCGATTAACTCGTCGAAGAAAATATATTAAATTTTATAATCGAGTACAATTATTGTTACCCGTTTTTGAAATACAACTAATTTTCAGGCGTTTGCATGGTTATCGAGATTAAACGATTTCCGTGACGATGTTGTAGATTGCGGAAACTATAGACAAAACGTTCAGATGTCGAATAATACAAGCGATTGTTGTCGACATCTGTTTTGGAAATTTAATTGTATTCTCGATTAACCTTGTCAGTTATCACGTCACGTGAAACATACCATTTTCGATATCGTAAATCTAACATCTCGGTTTCGGTTATCAGTATTAAACTGATCTATCTTGTTCGATCGATGAGAACGGTTCCAGCGAACCGAGTGGTTAAGATAATCCCGTTTCCGTATTATCCTTGGCTGAAATATTTACATTATTTTATTCACTTAATTAATTTCAGTATTTTTTCAACCATTGATAATATTGTACATAAGTTTACTTACTTATTACTGGTACAGAAATCAACGTATCACACATTCAGGAGCACATTTTTCATTTCTTTGATGTTTTTTTTTTTTTTTTTTCTGTAGTCTAAGTACTAATTTATCATAAGCCTACAAGACACTTAAGATGGTTCGAAAAATCAAAATAAATTATTTTATATATATATATATTTACTATAAACGCGATCTGCATAGAGAAAAAGCCGACTCGCGAATGCGAATGATGAATCGTACGGACGAGTTCAAACACTGTAAAGCGCAAAAGCTCATTAGATATTATGAAAAATCTATCTACTTCCCTTTTGTCATTGTATGCCGTATGTACACTTCACCAGCTATGAAATTATTAAACGCATATTACAATTATTATTATTATTATTTTTAATTTAATTTAATCGTTTTATTTTTGTTATATATTTAATTTTGTGTTGACCACAAATCCGACCTTTTTGACTATCTAATTCCTTCGACGCAGTACAAAAAATACAATCACTTAAACGATAAAAAAAGATTATAATTTATATTATAATTTGTTGTATATGGAATTGCGTAAACATATTATACAATTACTTATTATGTGAACGCATACAAATAAAAATCATGTGTCACTACATGATGACATAATATCCTATTGATTTGTATAGTCACTTAGAATAATGGTATGCGACTTGGGGGTCACCAATAATTTAACACCAAATGAAAAAGTAAAATATCATATAAATTAGTTAATTTTTATATTTTAGATTTTATTAAACTCTAATTCTGTTTTTTTTTTTATGTTTTCGATTTATAAAGTTAAAGAAATATTAAAACTGCTTAAAATTAATGATTTGAATTATATAAATAAAATTTTTGTATACATTAATTAAGTATATTTTATACACTTACATAATATTGATAAGAATGGATGGAGATCACCTCATGGAATTAATTAAGAAGAGGGTCGTGGATCAAAAAAGGTTGTGCACCGCTGACATGAAATACAAACTTTATATATATATATATATATATATAGATTCTAAGCAGAGTGATAGAAAAATATTGATATTAAAATTATATACTTCTTTTTGAAAACAAGTTTTAGAACATCAAAAGTTTAAAAGTCACATGTGGGGATTTTAAAAGAAAAATTAAAGTAAAATAAATCATTTATTCATTACAAATTTTATTTTTTGAATCTCAAAGCAGTTTTCAAGAAAATAACAGATAAAAAATATTAGATAATTATGAAGAAATATTTATTCTTAATAAATTCATGATTGTTTTTGGTTAAACTAAAATCTATTCGGAAAATATTTTTAAATCTAATTTGCGATGAAATAATTGAAAAGTTAAATGAGTGTTCAATAAAAATATCGAAATTTAAATTTTTATTATACATTTCTTAAGCATGCCTCTCCTTAAAGTTCCAGAGTTTTTAGAGTAAAAAATTGTTTAAAATATTTAAAGCAGATAAATATAGTATTTTATAAGCAGTAGGCTACATTCAAATTTCCAAAATATTAAACAGTTTTTCTATTTAAAAGAAAAAAATTGGTTATATTGCAAATAATGATTGATAGTGCTTTAATTCTGAGTTCCGTTATTTTTATCATCATAACAAGACAGTTAAAAATGGAATGAATGATTCGTACATTATCGATTCATTGCACTCAATTTAATGTCATCGAAAATACGTTCTTTTAATCAAATTTAATGTCATGTTTAATACTCAACCATCTAAACGGTCTTTTTTTCAATGTTTATCTTGATATTTTTACATTTTTATTTCAACTGAGTTTTTCATTTTTTTCAAAAAATATATTCCACATATAATGTGTATAAACATAATGAACAAAAATTTAACGCGATTCTCGAGTTTTTTGGAATAATTTATATTTTATTCGACTTATCAAGAAATTATTTTGAATACGCTTATAATTTATAGAAATATATGTACACACACATACAGACATACATTTTTATAAACTTATACTACATGGCCATTGATTATTATACCTTTTTGACCATGAAGCATTATAAAGTTTTTCGTATGTGCTTAACAACTTAATCATTTTAATATTCGTGTACTGTCATGAATATGTAACCCGTCATAAATATTATCATCTTCAGACGAATTCGAATTGATTTTTTTCTATTTATTTTGGTTAAAATATTTTTACTATGTGTCTCTGCCCTTAAAAGTTATATATAATTACAATATTTCGTTATTTTAATGATATTTTTTGTAAGATTTAGAGTATAAATATTAAATCTTTATAAAAAACATATATTAATTCTATAAGTATTTTTATTCAGCTCATTAAGTATATGTACATTTTTAAATAAATCCTAAAAATCATTTTTCACATAATTTGAATTAATTAATATGTAATAATAATATATTTTAAAGAAAACAAAATGACTAACCACTGGATTCATGTACGTTGAGAGTATACTCTAGAGATGCACTTCTTGTTGAAGTTATAACAATAAACTAGTTAACAAGAACGAATGACGAACCATAAAGAACTTTATCTATACAAACAGAGTGCATTGACGAGTGTTTCAATAAAATTATAAGTTTAATCATCGACTTGGGGTTAAGTGAGTTTCCAATAGAAACTTTTTACGCAAAAGTAAAATGTAATATTATTGTATTAAAATTACTTTTTGTATTTGTGCTCCTGATTTTTTTTATATATATATATATATATATATGTAATTTTTGTCTGAATGACGTTTTTCAGACGTTTTTATCATCAATATAAAACTAATCGACTGTTTGTATATTATAGTAATAATAAAATATGTCAAGCCATTATTCAACACGTTTAATACTCAACCAATATTTTTACGAATAATACAATTATATAAAGAAAAATGGAGAAATAAATAAAATGTACTGTACCAAGAATAAGACGGATTCATAAAGCAAAATATATAATAATTTTTTCGTGTATTGTTATGCATTATTTTATCATTTCGGTAAAGTGATGCGAATATGTTGAGTCTTTAAATAGTGTGACGAACAAGCCCAACTTTTGGCTAAAAATAATATATGCATATTTTATCGAGCATACAATAGCATTCATAAGATACATCTTGTAAGTTATGATTAAAAAGTGGATTTAATTTATATTGCAACTTTTTATTGATACCCAGTAAATTAAATCTGATCAAATATGTATCCGAATCAGATTAATTACAGTCTTCTTATTTAATTTAATAATGCAATTTTTTGCAATTTTCAACGAATTTTTTGCAATTATTGTAATTATTGTATACTTCACGTGATAAAATATACAAATTATTATTTCCAAACTGATTTTACAAAAAAAATATAACTACGACGTAAATTTTTACATGTAGTTAAATATAGTTTAGGATTTTTAAAATTATATTTATCTGGATTATTTACAAAACTCATAAGTTTAAAAGAATAAAATAGTCAATTTTTTAATAGTTTAAACATATTTAGTATAAATACTAAATAAATAAACAATTACTAAAGAAATACTAAATAAAAATATTTAGTATAAATATTATATATATATATATATAATATAAATAAATATTATTTAGTATAAATATTCCCGGTCCTAATGGAAAAATAGTTAAAGATAAATTAAAATATGTCTTGGAAATAAATGAAGGATATAAAACTATTAAAACTTACTCTGAGGTTATGGCAAGAAATCAAAATGTTTATTTAGATACAACACCCAATTTTTAAACTATTTTAAATATGTATCGATAACAAGTATCGACGTTGAACGTACTTTTTCATTATATAAACATATTTTAAGTAACCGACTATACAATTTTCAAGAACACAATTTAGAAATGAATATAATTATAAATTTTAATTCAAAAAAAATTATATATTTTGTAAATATTATATAAATTTCCATAACATTATTTAAGTAAATAATTAATGATTATATACTTAATATGATTTTACTTTATAATTTTAATGTATTTCATTGCAATTTTCACATATTTATACTGCAATTTTGATACATCTTTATTGCAATTTTGGCATCTTTTTTAGCGCAATTTTAAGATATTTTTTAATACAATTATATCCGGTCTTTAGTTATGATTTATTATAACATGATATAGGTGATTATATATAAAGCAAAGATATGTAATCTTCTTTTACGTCGCATGTTTATATATAATTTATACGTCAAAACAATTATCGTATTAAATAAATTGTTAAACTTTATGATATTAAACATTATGCTCGATTTATTATTATACAAGAATTCCGTATATCCACTAAAATTTAAAATATAAAACAAAATTATATATTTTGGTAAGGACGAGAATATAAATTAATTGTTGTTAGTAACATATAATGACATGCATGTAATCAAATATAACTCAATGTTGTAAAAAACTATCGCGTTTTCGAAAAGGTGATCTAAAAGACTATAAATAATACGATATACGTATATTACGTATCGTTATAACGAGTAAAAATGTAAACCATAGTCAGTTTTTATTCAAAAGTATTATCTGGCCATTTTCCAAACAAATATAGGTAATTTCTTAAATTATTATAATACTTATCCATAGTGAACTGCGTTCACGTAAGCACGGTTTGTTCTGGTTGGCAACGTTCTACTTAATATATACTTGTTTATGTGTTGGTCGTAGTCCAATATTTCACTCGTGTTTTAAATTCTAAACTAATGTGAATGAAAACACTTGTATATAAAATATACATTTACATTTAAAAAAAAAAAAATAATAAAAAATAGTAAGATAGGAATCATAGAGTTATACTGAATGTATAAGGAACTATCGATTTGTAAACGAAAAAATATTTCTTCGTATTATTTTGAACACAAAAACATAACAACACATTATACAAACATAATGTTGAAAACAAGTCTTTTAATATTCCATATACAACATGTTACAACATTCTATTCTGTATCAGGGTTTTCGAACTGGGTTCTGCTGTACCTCCGGAGATCAAACACGCAAGGATATCAAAGATAGGGCAAAGTATCTCACGGTGCCGGTTATGGTATGACTACTCGTAACAGTCAGTTTATATTTTGGTTTTCCACAAGAACCGACTGATTTTTTATGTACGGTTTTGCAAAAACACTAGAACTACTGTTCTGCGTGCGATAGTTTTATTTTTATTCGAAAAAGTGTCTGTATCTCTTCTGAAAATATCTATTCGATCAAATTGTCTGGTTCTTCCTCTGAGTGATGGGGTTAAGCAAACACTTTATTTCTTCATCTACAGCGGGAAATAGTG